TTTCCACTATGAACAATATCAATGGCATCCTCAGATGACTAAAACCATTGACTCACCCTACACTAACATCACCAAATTTGAAGGAAAGAGAGTGGAATGATGCAGATTGGAATATGGACATACAAATTAATCAAGGCACACTAGACCAAATAGAATGGTCAACTAGACTGATATCTGTAAAAGGTATGCTTGCTCGAAAGTATAAAATTGTTGAAAAAGCTGTAGAAAAAATAATATAGCAAATGTGTGCTTGGTACGATGTTGTATGTCAAGTAACAGCATGGAATGGAGTTGAATGGGCACTGTTGTTTTGGATTTCTGGAACTGCCGTATTATTCCTTGTATGTTTCTGTTGTGGATATCAGATGTGTAAGCAATATAAGAAAAAACAAGCTTTGTGGAAAATTTATAAGATTGAGTTATTGGATTATGCTACTAATAATTGTAAAAGAATGCTTTAAATGTTAGACACCAGAAAAGAAGATACATGATCTAATAATGTACAAATTGTGGGTATGATTGATGCGATATTACAATTATTTTTGGTAAATGAATATCGAATGGGGGACTGTTGAGATGGTGCCAAATTGGTGTGGCCATACTGAATGAATGGTGTGAGCATAACTTGACATGACTTAAACATGGCAGAATGGCTGCAGAGGATGCTGGGAGCAGGTTCCCTTTAAGCAGAAGCAAATTTGATAAAGGACTGGCAAAGTTTGCATGTGTGATAGATATTGAACCTAGTAGACAGCAAATATGGGCCCATGCAAAAGTAAAAACCACATGTGTAAAGTTCCAGCAGGGAGCACAGGTTGACCTGATTATAGTGACCTTACAGCAAGGACACCATGCAGAGAGCCAGAGTGAATGATGAGTGAGTAAACATGGGGTGATCTTCGTTTAGTACCACCCAGAAGCGCCGCCAGCTTTTTTTGCTGCCCTAGGCAGCGGAAGGTCCTACCCCCGAAATGCCACCCCTGACAGAGGTGGCAGAAGGTCCTGCCCCCGAAATACCGCCAATGACCGGGGTGGCCAAAGATCCGGCCGCTGCGGTCGCCGCCCCCCAAATGTTAGTGCCCTAGGCGACCGCCTAGGTCGCCTAATGGGTTGTGCTGGCCCTGGTACCACTCCCCCCGCCCCTTCTAAAATACTAATCAGGTAAAAATTAGTAACCACACACCCACAGGGCATGCTTTTAAGACATATGACTTCTTTGAGGGGGAAAAAAGAGTGTATAAATCAAGCAAAATAAATTACTGTGGTTGGGATTCCTTAACTGACGCTTGAAGAAGCAACGCTGCTAGACAAAGTAGCCAAAACTCTGCTCCGTGGGCTCGAGTAGGACTGTGAACCAGAGGGGTTTTAAGGCAACCAAGGCCTTGCCTCAAGGGAATCTGAGACAGACCAGAGGGCTGAGAAGAACAGATCAGGAGGAAAGAAGCTGTCTATAAAATTGGTAACCACCGTCTCTGTTTGCCAAACAGGAACTGCGTGAGGCTAGCGCAGGTCTTATTTGTGTATATTTGTGAAAGAGACTCGTAAGAGGAATGTATAGCTCTTAATGTTTAACACAGGAGTTATGTGCTTAATATAACCCTTTACTGCTTGTGTAATTCCTTCTCAAACAGCTGTGTATAGAAGATAATTACTATGGACCTTTTTTCACTGGTATGACAGTAATCTGCTCCACTGGGAGCCAATAAAGATCCATTTCAGGGGTAGTAGTGCCCTGTTAACACTAATATATGCTGATATTATCCACCTAAATAACATTCTTCATTAGTGTCAATCAGTTTCCTCTCAAACATTTTATTAAAGTCACCGTCCAATTCAACACTTCCAACTGGGTATGCAGTAATATTTCTTAAAACGTGTACAGCACCTAGTGTTCAGTAGAATTTTTTCAAATATTATGCAGCACAACTGAACCCTAGCAACGTCTAGAGGGGACGACTGAAATTAACTGTTTCACAGAACTGCAAAGGTGTGCTAGGAAGGCAGAGAAAGAAAGGATACAAATTTTAGTACAGTGACTTTCCGTTCTGAGCAGTAGCAGAATCATTTGAACTTTGTCTATTGTAGCTTTGGATTTTAAAACTGTGGGGCATAGAGCTTTGGTGCTTACACCATACGGAGCAGTTGCTTAAGATAAACAGGGAGGAAGACAGTCTATTTTAAAAAAAAAAGTGTACACCTCTTGGTATATAGAGCTGTGTATCAGAGCTTGCTAAGTTGAAATGAAATTCTGAAGAGACTTTTGAGAGTCAAAGAAAATAAAATGATCTGTGAGGACAGCCTGTCAGAAATGAGTAGTAAGACAATTACAGTTCCACTGGAAGAGGTATTTCAAAATAACATTTAATATTGTTAAAAGAATTACATTCAAAAAGATAACATTGAATACACTTTAAGGCCTTTATTTCATGTACCATGTTTCAACTTCTGCTGTTCTTTGGCAGTAATCTGTCGTAAATACTATCACCTTTTTCTTCTGGAAAATTAAGCTTTAAGCCTATGTGATTTTGAAGTTGCATTTTCTATAAAAACAACTGAACTAGTGTTTCTGCTTTACCTCAATTTTGCAAAGAAATTATCATGATTGGACACAAAGTAAGCAAAAGTATTCTTTTTACTGTTCCTAACATCAGGCTTTATGCTAAAGTTTCTTAGGGCGTGTCTACACACAAGTTATATACTGCGTTATCTATACCAATATGGCTAATGTGATATAATCTCCCTAGTATGGCTGCATTCATCAGTATAATCTACACAGCATCAGATCAACACAGCATGGCAATGCACACTAGGGGATGTGATTTCTAAAGTGTACCAACATTTTGTGTACTAACGGACTCATACAGACCCTGTTGGCGTGCACTAAAAGTTCTATAAGTGCACTTAACATAGTGTAACAGCGCATTAGGAAACTTTTAGTGTGCATCAGCAGAGTCTACACAGTCCAGTTAGCATGCAACACATTAGTGCACTCAAGAAGTCACACCTAATGCATATTGCTGCACCATGTAGGCAAGCCCTTAGTCCTTTAAACTGATACAACTATTCCTATACAGAAAGAGGAATAAATTATGCTGGTATAAAAAGTGTTTATACCAATATATCTGCATCCACGCTAATGTGGTTGTACTGGTATAACTATTTCAGTAAAAAAAAAAACCCAAACACCACTCACAGCCAAAATAGCACATAGTAGACCAGTGAGACAGTCTGTATCCCTATGTTCACCCCTTTTTAAAAACTATAATGATTTTGTACAAGGTATGTCTTTTGAGGCTTCATTTGAAAACTCAATGTGCTGATCATTATTGTCCTGGTAAAATATATGTGGCAGCATTGTATGTAAAGTTATAAGATTCCTCTGTATAACAGTACTGAGACATATTCCATGCTTAGAAAAGCAGGCACCAACAGCTTCCTCAGAGAGGAAAGGCAAACTGTCTCTGCCTCAGCCAGGCGTCAGCGAAGTCAAATGGACTATCACCCGGTTAAGTGGCCATTCTTTGGAAGGAAAAAGGGTGAGTAAAAAATGTACATCTTGGCAACAAAACAGCTGGAGGTTCCCATCTCCACAGACTTGCTGTCTCCTGAACCCTAGCTGGAGATGATTTTCAAAGAAAGAGAGGGAAACAGAGGCCCCCAAATATCTCTCCCTTCATGTCTACTCACAGCATGAACAGCACCTGAAGGACAAGGATATTAACATTGAGCTGGGGGAAAGATCCTGGCTGAAAGGATTTCAGCCATATGACTGCTAAAGCATGTGGTGAGAGAAACCTTTGCTGGTATTTACTTAGCTTGTTAAGTTAGGTATTAGTTTGCATTTTGCCTTTATTTCTTTGTCACCAATTCTGACTTTTATGCCTCATTACTTCTAATCTCTTAAAATATCTTTCTGTAGTTAATAAACTTGTTTTATTGTTTTATCTAAACCAGTGTGTTTGGGAAACTCCATTTGTTATAACAAGATTTGCACATATTTTCTATTAATGAAATGATGGACTTTATATGAGCTTGTATCGTCCAGGAGAGTGCTGGGCAGTACAAGACACACATTTCTGAGGGAAAGTCTGGGACTGGGAGTTTGCTGGTGTTGTCCTCAACGTAATTCATGGGTGGCTGACTATAGCACTCATACAGTATAGCTGGGAATGATTTACATGTTGGAGGCTGTGTGGGCAGACCAGGATCAGTGGCTCTCACAGCAAAGCAGTGTAAAAGGTACCCCAGGTTGAAAGGGACATAGCTGTTCATCAGTCCAGATTATACTCTGGGTAAATGTCACAACCAGGCCTTAGACACTTAAAATAAACATATTTTCTTCTTAAAAGTCAGCTGACTCTGTAGTGCAATTAATCATTCTACAATTATGGGTCGCTGTTCCCCAGACACTTTTCTAGAGGTCCTTAAGGACCATGACAACAAGCAGAATGCCATATGGAAGTTGGGGGGATTTAGAGCTAAGTGATACGCAAGGGGACCTTGTCTTTACAAAGTGGTCTGTGAAAATCAAATACGAGAGAGAACTTGTGGTGTAGTGGTTAATGCCATTTGGCTGCTATGTGGGGAAACCTGTTTGAAAGTGACAGAACTCTGATACTTGTGACAGCTGAAGCTTGGGAAGTCAAAGGTGATACTCCCTGTGTCACGGGATGTAGAAATGAGAGCAACAGAAGGAAAAACCCAGGGAGCCCAGTCCAGCACATAAGCAATGCTGGTCCTGTAAGTGGAAAGGAAGCCGTTCAGGCAGCTGTTTAGTTCTAGAACTGAACTGAGGACCTGGAATGAAAGATCTGGTGGTAAATCATCCCGAACAGCCCTCTTGACATAAGCACTTCATCTGGGTTTGGCAGGAGAAGAATCACTCACTGAAAACAAAGGGTGCCCCTCGTCACAAAAAACTTAGTTTACAAATAAAACCATCAAAATACCCTGAGTGTAGCCTTATTTGCTGATTACACTGAATGAAAACATTTTAGAAGTAATATATAAACTTAACTTTAATAAATGTTCTGCTCCAGTTTGATAGCGATTTATGCTTGAAGAGATACTACATCTTTTTACCCGTGATTAGGCCAACAGCTTTCACAGATCTAATTTGTCAATAAGTTACATTCAGAACGAAGTCTGATAATTCACATTCATAATGAGTAAACAATACTACACTTAACTGTACCAACGTTTACAAATGATTAAAGTTCAACATAGGACTATGAGTAAATAACTATTCATTAGTCAATGGTATAGCACAATTACAGTAAAGCATGTTGTGTATGTTTCACCATTTTATTTTGTATCAAAACAGATGAAAAACCTAAGTTTATCTGAAGGCCAGCAAGAATTGCAGAGTAGCCTCCTGTGTTTCTGTATAAATCTTGGGAAAAAAAAAAACATCTCTGTCTGCACTGTCCAATACCGTTACTGTTTACTAGGACTTTTTAAAATAGAAAAGTGCAATACGATGTTTAAAATCAAAAGTCTTGGCATGTCTAGCTTGGCATTGAGGTTTCCAATTAACACTAGTAGCAGTGGCCAACTGCTCAACAATATTGCACAAAAACACATCTTTAGAGATGAAGGTACTAAAACAGAACAAGTAAAGCTCTTCTCCCTGACAAACATGAAAAATGTAAAATGCTCAAAAATAATTCAACCTACATAATTTATTATCTTATTTGTTGATCTTAATGATTTTATACTTCATTGGATTAACAGGCAGTTTGAAAATTCAAGAATGTTTGCTTTCTCAATTAAAAAAAACCTCTTGTAATCCTTCTTCTGCAGGTAACTACCAGGATGCTCACCATGAGGCCCCGATCAAACACATGGCATCTTAGGCAGTTCAGACATTTAGCCTTACTGTGTGGAGAGAGAATAAGCCAGTCAATCCCTTTCCTCTAAATCCATCAGAACTGCTTTGCCACCAGAATTCAGAGGTTGCTCCTGAACCTTTCAGTCACAGCCCCATGAACTGTCTCCTCCTATCTTTTGTGCCACCTAAAGCAGCAAAGACATTTACCTGTACAAAGAGCCTTTAAACACTGTAAAAGGTTTTGCTTTTGATCACCTATGAAAGTGAAGTCTCTATGAAGGACAGAACGCACATACATTTCAAGATCTGTACGTTTCTTATATATAATAGTTTACATTTTTACAGGACTACCTTACTTAAATTGCCATTCAAAAGCTGTAAGGTGATTTTAGTCTCTGAAAGAACAATTTCTGAACAAAGTTTTCATTTTAGAAAAGTGACCCTTTTTGAATTATGGGAATAATTTAATTCAGCGATATAAATTACAATAAATGTTACTGAATAGGTCTGTCTTCTAAATTAAATAATCACTGATCTTGCAGAGTATATTACTAGAATACAGATTTGAGATTACAAATGCAGTACATCTGCACATTACTTACATCATCTTAAAGCTGATAAAATACACCTGTTGGTAATTTAGTTTACTTCTGTAGAAGTTTAGTAGATAAATATGTTTGGGCAATTGTTAAAGAAAGAGCACTATAAGCGGAATTTAAACAACTTCTGGAAATTATATACGCAAGATGACTGTACACGGACATGCAATTTTTGGAAAGTTACATTAGTTTCTTTTTACTTTTAGAAGAAAGGTTCTCCAAATCAGATTAAAATATTAGCTTGCTAATTGGTTAGATAAATAGTAAATTTGTTGCCTTCCTTAATTAGTCAAAATATTTCTACTATAATTACAAAAAGTTTTCTTGAATCCTATTCGTGTTTCCATTGTGAAGAAGCCTATATTGAAAAGTTATCACTGGTACTAAATTACGTTACCTTTCTCTTCCACAGAAGCTGAGCAAAAATCCTCACAGTTCAACACAAAGCAAGAAACAAGATTCCGGGAGGTGTACTTTATACCAGTCCAAAAAAAGCTGAACTGCAGTTTCAAAACTGGGAGTGTGTGGCAGGAAAAACAAACAAACAAAAAACAAAACAAAAAACCCCCAGTAACAAATCTCTCTTTGACAATGAGGTTGTAGCTTGGTTTCACTATTCATACCAACATAAATGAATTGTCCTGTAATTGCCTTAACTTTCCAGGTTTTCCAAAAAGTCACATTCAACACTTTCTTCTAGTTGTTTCAAGATCCTTGTGCTGTTGCCAAGAGAATATTCCACTGACAGAGATGCTGAACTCTGTGCATTTTGGGACCTGTTACCTTGTGCTTTGAATGCACAGCTCAGGGTCCTGAAGAAGGGCATTAACTGTGTGATGCTGGATATAGAACGAAGGTTCAAAAGAGGATAGTCACATTTCTCTGAAGTTCTCTCATTAGTGTTTGTTTCCTGCAAACAAGCATACAAACCAGAAGATTCATTGAGTATTATGCAGAAAGCTGGTCTATTCCTCTATGACATAACTTGGTTGAAATCTGCAGTAGATACTATTTGTCAATCAATGTGAGATCTGCAGCCTGCTATACCAGGCATTTCTTGCATCACAAGATGTTACCTTAAAATGGAGTTTTACTTTAAAAAGTGAGTTTCTAACAATGGTATTATGTGGTTCTATATTCTCTCCCCCCCACAAGTAATCCCTGTTGGTCACCTGCTTAGGCACTGTCAGTGAGTGCTGTTCTGCAGATATATTAGCAATAGGTCTTGAAAAAGGACCTAAAGGACTGGGTAGTAGCTTTACATCTTTACTTCTGGGAAGGTGTTGCATACATACTGGAAGGCAGGCATGGAGCAGTATGGGAGAAGGTGACAAGTGGGTAAGGGAGGTTAGCATAATTAACAGTGTGTGAGATCCCCTGCCACAATAAGGTTCTGTGTATGTAATAAGATTCTGCAGTCCAATTCTACCATTTATTCCTCACAACTCCGCTGCCGTCAAGGGGGTTGCACAGGTGTAAATTAGGGCAGAATCTGATTTAGCACTTCAAACTTTGATACTGACTCCTTTGATGCACATGCGGAAAGAAAATCTAGCTCGTTCACTGAGCTGCACTGGCTGTGCTGTAGTAGCAGAATTAGTAAAAATGTTGGGACACTAAGGCAAGCACATATTCCTCTGAATAAACAAAAGTAGCAGATCTGAAGTTAGAAGATGCATTTCTAAAAAGTCACTTTTCTGAGGAGAGCCACATATTAAATTTTCTCTTGTGAGCAACATAATTCTTTGAGAGTGCACATGCAATTTTAAAAATCATACTTCCTAGCCACCGTCTGCTTTGTCTTCCTTTATAACCCTCCCTATTTTTCAAGGCTATGTTGCAGTATCTAAAGTGATACATTAGTTTAAAATACATGTATGACAACTGTGTATTTGAGGCTACATTCTAGTCTCATTTCAGATGGTTATTTTTTAATATATTATATATTTGAAAGATTTCCTGTATTAAAAGAATTCCAATTTTTCTTAAGTTATCAATTCACAGTGCAAGATATACATGGAGATCCTGTCCTCCAATATCCAACCAGAAGACCTAAATAGCTGCAGTATCTATTATGTTCAGGAGTGAAATGAACAGGTTTGCAGTAGTTTAGCAAGTTGGTACTTTCCCCTGGAATTCATTCCATACTCCAGAATTTCAGCTTCCATGAAAATATTAGCCCTTATGCTTGCAAAGCTAGATCAGCTTGCAAATGAGAACTGGATGGAAAGTGATGGCAGTGCATGTGGGATTCTGGAGACAACCAGAAACAATAGCCCTGAGAACCATGAACACCCCCATTCATCTTGATGGATTTTTGATGCTGAAGCCTAAAAATTTAAAATACCAATATTCTTATCAACTACTTCATTTTTGATCAAAGCATGTAAGATCATAATATTGCTAGTAAATGTTAATCTTTTATTATTCCTTTGAATATTAAACTCATGATTCTTTGGCCAAACATCCCAGAAACATTTCTGTGTTAGCCAAAGAGCTGTCTAAACTCTAATGCTAAAGAGTGCTTTGTTTTAAACTAATGAATGTCTGTAATCGATAGTAGCACTGTATTTAATTATCCGCTCTGCTTTTTACCCTGATCTTGCTAACCTAGTACAGATGCCCAGGAAGGACTTCTAATAATTAACAAAGGATGCTTATAAATGTGCACTGTAATTGAGAAGATATTAGTAATAGACAAACTGGACAAGGAACATGTGTTATAACAGATGTGTTCTACAATCAATGCAACAGCAAACCACTGAGTAGTGTATTGATTAAATGTCTAAATTATTAAGAGCTAATTATGGTCACAAATGGTCTCAGTAGTAATAAATTAGTTATCAATGTAATTTACTTATTGATTAGGTAAGTTCAGAATATTCAAAATAAAACATGAGAAAGGATATTTCAGCAGGGCTAAAATTTTAGATCAAAGAAAATTTTGAAGGATTTTCTTTGATCTAAACCAGTATACAAGGGATAAATATGGGGGAACTGAGTAAGAAGTGAAATGAGATGCCAAATTTCTCCAGTCGCAGACTGATATGTATGTTTTCATTTCTGTATAGTGTTGTGTTAAGTATTGATTGATTGTCTTACTTAAATAAAACTTCAACTGAGTTGGTTATTTGACATCAAATCTTATTAAAATCTGAACACGTAACACTATGAAGACATGCCCAATCTCCTGTGATTAGTTTCTCATTTTGGGGTCATGAATGGAGGGAGTTTGGGATAGTACAGCGATTTTTTCCAGGCTGACCCTTGTCAGAAGATATTACCTGCATAATTGGTAGATGTGTCTATAGTGAATCACCTGAAATAAATGGCTATCTGGAATCCTCCAGGCAAATGTAATATAATAGGAATATTGTCAAGATAGATCAATTTTAAAGCCAAAGAGCCTTTTAATATGGAGACTGAAATCTACTGCCCAGCTGACTTTTCTAAATGAATAAAAATGGTGCTTTAAAGTTATCAGAGTTAATGTTAATAGAAAATATGTATCTAATGAAGCGTTCTCTTTACCCCATATTTCAGCTTTAACGAGTCCATGATTCTAATGATATGTGGTTTACATTCTTGGTGATTTTCCATTAGATGAGAGGTCATGGTACAAGTCTCTGTGTCCACTTCTGGAACAAAGGCCCATCTGTACCTGAAACAAATGTATTGTACAGGTCAGAAATCATTCATGAGAGTCCCTTTCCTAGAAATAAATAAAAAATGCTGACAATTCCAACACTAAGCTTTCTTATCCCACTGTTTTAATAGCTGTGCTGACCATCCTCCCCCATGCTCTGTTACAAGAGCTGTATTTTGTGGTCAGTCTGTTTAAGTACTGAAAGGATGGACAATGTCCCCATATAGATACAAGTGAAAATGAAACAGACCCTTCCTCTCTCCCAACAATTCTCTCAGTGTTGGAAACAGCAAAATCTTCTCAAAGTCTGATATCTAAATATTTATCAGATATCCAGCAGGTTATGCCCATATGTGACGTTGTTTGATTAAAATATAATTATGCAAACCACTGTTATATAATTGCAATGAATCTTGTACAAAGTGTAACATATGGCCAGAAAGGGTTAAGCAGCTTGCAGGCTAGCTAACCCAGAGCCAACCCGTAGAGACATGTTAGAAATGGTAATTAAGGCCATTCAATGCTAGATAGGTTTGCATTTCAAAGTTCTAGCCTATGTTGTTAAAAGTTAGAAGTGATACTAATTGTGTGTTTACTTATAGATGCTAGCCATGTAAACAGACAGTTCCTGTCTCTCACTATAGCTATTGATTCAGAGATCAAAAGGGAATATTAACATTTAGATGAATCTTGGGTGAAATAATGTCATTGTCTATATGTTTCTCTGAAGTTTGTGATAGACTGCTTAATAAATTATCTTATGTTAATCCATGTAGATAATTACCGGCAATGCTTAGGAAATAGACCTACTTCAAAGTTGCCCTGATTGCCCATTGTTTACCCAGGACTGTATGGTCAAGTGGATGCTAGAACACTGTATAAAAGACCCTTGGGTCCTGATCCTGTCATCTCAGATCTGCTTGAGGTTTCATGCAGGGGAAGCCTAAGCCATAAGGATTGAGATCCCAGTCCTAAGCTGGAACACTCTGAATAGGATATTGGACGTTGGACTATAACCTATGAACTAAATTCTAAAAGAACTCTTTGCAACTACAAAGCTCACCATCTCTGCTATGAATCTGAACCTAAGGAATTGAACTCATGTCTGTATGTATATTGATCTTTTAACTATACTTTCTCTCTTTTCTTTTTAAATTTTAGTTTAGTTAATAAGAACTGGCTGTAAGCATGTGTTTGGGTAAGATCTGGAATATTCATTAACCTGGGAGGTAATGTGTCCAATCCTTTGGGATTGGAAGAACTTTTTTACATATGATATGATGAATAAGATTTTCATTAATCCTCATTATATCTGACTTGGGTACCTGGATGGAGGCCTGAGGCTGGGTTACTCTAAGAGAACTGTGGTGTTGGCTTCTGGGCAACCAGTGAGGTAATAAATAAGCTGTTGTGGGCTGGCTTGGTAAATCTAAGCATTGGAATATCCACCAGCTCTAGGGATTGTCTGCCCCATTCTTTGCATTTCACCCTAATTGAATGACCTCAGCTGGCTCCCCTGGGAATCCGGTCACACCATACCTATGTAAAAACTTGTGGATGAAGAAAAGATTGATGAGAGACACCAGGTTTACTAACTATGGAGGAGAAAATAAGAGTCTTACAGTACATTTACATATTTTTAAATGGTGCACAAATAGTATGTTACCTACAGTACTATATGCCATATAGCTATAAATTAAAAAGAGTACCTAGAGGACTTACATTTGAAATAACTGCATCTTGTCAGGTGGAAAAGAAAGCGCTGTGTCCAGGAACTTACAAGCTGATAAATACAAGGACAGCTCGTTCTGTTGTATGTCTGAAAGTAAGGGGCCACTGCCATCAGCTGAAGCTGAAGTTTTCTGTCTGCTTACTTTGCTGTTGCTCCTGTGTGATTAACCAGGAAGGAAAGCACTATTAAAAAAACCCACTAAATATTTTCCATCTGCTAAAGGATTACAGTCACCTATAAGGGTTCATTTGTACTATACATTTATCTTCAGACATTTATAAAAAACTACATGGTAAAATAGTCAAAAACTATAGTCTTCACCCATTTTTTCCTGTAAGTAGCCCATTTCTAAAACACAATTGCCACATCAGCTGCCTAAATGACAACATTTACTGTATGGCAATGCCAGACTTCGATATGCAACATTGCTTGCAAGCTGCAAATGCTATTGTGATTTTCTGAAATTCCAGCCAGAAAGCAACCACAACTCCTCGGACATGTTTTGTTAATTTGTTTCTGTTTTACGTGAGATAAACAAGTCTTACTTTGATGGTTCATCTTCCTCAGCTAAGTCTTCTTCCAGCTGTATAAATGTCTGAATCTTAACAAAAAACAAAAAAAACAAAACAAAACAATCATGGAAAAGACTGCTTCATATGAGATTAGGAAGCGCAGGACAAGTTTTATTTTAACTTTGTCACTTATAAACACCGTCGACCTATCACAAGAGTTAGTTCTTTGAACAACAAAATTTATAATGGAAAGTAAAATATATTTTCAAACCACAGCAGTCCCCCCAAATTATCTAATTGAAAACTAAGATGTAAAACCATAAACCAGTTGCAAAGATGGAGTGTGTTTGGAAGGAAGGGAAAGGTGGGTATGGAAAGCAAATGTAATATATTCTACATTGGTATTTGTTAAAGCATTACTGCTTACCAATTCAGTCACCATGATTGGCCACAGTGAGGTTAGATGCTGAGGAGAAATTCTTAGCAACAGAACTCTGAAAAAGAGAAACATCTGGGCAGCAACTATAGAAGTCTGTCCAACACGGAGGTTATCTGTCAGTCGTTCTGAAACACATTTTCAAAAAAGTTATAATTTTTCATGTACATAAAGCTAGTTTTGGTAAATTAGAAATGCAGGGAAAAAATGTAGTTTGCTTTGATTATGTCATCCAGTTTTGATTGGCCGTTCTTTTCACCCCATCAAAGAAATGGTCAATTTTCCCAAAAATTCTCCCAAAACATGACAATAATTTGGAGCTAGATTAACTTTTGTTTGGGTTTTTTCTTGTCAAAAACTAACTGTGTTAGAGATCAGAGATTTTAAAGGGTTCTCCCCCCCGAACCTAGCAAAAATTCAGAGGTGGTAGGGAAATAGGCAATACAACAAAAATATATAAAGTATAAGACGACTGTATCTATGTAAACAAGGCACATTTTAAAAATATACTCTTACCTTGTATTAATGGAAGGTAAAGGTGATACTGATCGATTTCTCCACTAAAGACAGCAAAAGCCTGCCGCTTTAACAACATTGCTTTTTGCTCAAAACTTGGGAACATTTTTAAAGAACTGCTCTGCATACCTACAAAAAAGACCATAATGAATATGTACACAATTTAAGAGATACATCTTTACCTCAAAACACAAGTTATTTCTAGGGCTATCAAGCAATTTAAAAAATGAATCATGATTAATTGCGAGATTAAAAAAATTAATTGTGATTAATCACATTTTAATCGCACTGTTAAACAATATTAGAATACCATTTATTGAAATATTTTAGGGGTTTTCTATGTTTTCAAATATAGGGTCAAGGCTAGGGGCTCTGGGCTTCAGCCCCCTTGAGGGTGAGGGGTTTCAGCCCCTCTCGTGGTACAGGGCGGGGTTGCAGAGCTTCAGCCACTCTTGGGGCTCCAAACCCTCCCCGCTGCCTGGGAAGCTGCAGACTGAGGCTGCTTCAGCCTCCTCTCCTCCTGGCCACTGATGCTTCCTGCCCTGCCCACAGGTATGTGATTAACACATTAAAAATGCATTAATTTTGCTGTCAATTAATTTCAGGTTAAAACCCATTGAAGGGGGGGACAATTGGCACAGTCTAGGTCTGCATGTATGGATGGGGAATTCCAGTTGTAAGAGAAGCACCTCAGCTGCTAGGAGGTTGCCCGGCAATTCCAACTCCCACCTCCACCTCTGTGTGCCCATCTCTCTGGTCTCCCCTATGTTCATATATGTATGATTTTGGATTTCTCAGAATGAGCTCTGTGACACTGAAGTACTAGCCACAGATTTAAAAACGATGGGTCCAAAATATATTAATTTTTTTTTTAAAGAGCGTTATATCTTACGTTTTTTAAAAAACATTTTAAAATAGCTTAAGGGGTATATGGAGGACAGAGACCAAAGTATCCTCCTCTCAATTCTCAGGTGTGTTTTAGGGGTCTTCTCTTGTCCTCCCTCAGGCCTTGAGAGTTGGAGACTGCCTTTTGAGGGGAGTCTCCATCTTCCCATACTTTGGTCAAGCCTGGAGAATGAGGTTTTAGAGTGTGAGGGGGTCAAAAGTATGCCGAAGCATACTAACATACTGCTCTTATGATGGTGCTCCCCCCTGCATGGAGCACTTTGCTATCCTACAGACAGACTCATGCAAAAATATGATAGCAGGAATCTCGTATCTGAGCTATATGCACGAGATGCTACAATAGGGGTTTAAACTCCTCAGCAAGATGAGCATCAGTAAGTGACATGTACAAGTGGCAATAATTCTGATGAAGTCTGTTCGCAGAAATCCAAGTTTATTATAATTTATCACCATTTCTGAAAAGAGAACATTTAGAATGTCTTCCTGAACACGGCTACTACTCTCTACCCTTTTGAGCATGTTAACAGAGAAGGATTTCCGTGAGTAAATTATTTAACTATAGCTAATCAAGGCTGGTAACATTATGAGCTGTGAAAATGCACTGAAGTTAACATATTACCTCCTTAATTTAATGTAAGACAAAATATATGTTTGAGAGCTCACCAGAATATGAATTCCAAATTATTGTAGTAATAAATTATCAGCAAAGAATACTTACTCATAAAATCTTTAAACATAGTTTTCTCATGTGTTAGAAGATGATCTATAATGGACCTCCAACTGAATAAAATATATAAAGAATTAAAGATAAAACACAACTTGTCACCATCATACAAAAGAGACCCTGGGATAACATTTCATACAAAAGCAGCACATTTTACCATTTCATTTTTGATTTGTGTTTGAAATGCCAGACATGGTTATTTTATGCTCTTGAACCTGATTATGTGAGGATCCCAAAGTTAATGTGGAGAATATGCATTTACATGATGTGAAGAGAAGTTATCCTGCCTCTACACACTGCTGAAAACCTAATCCTTTTATAAAACAATTTGCTAGGACTAGTATTTGGCATTTATTTCAATGTTAATATATTCTGTAGGGAAGTTCAAGATAAGGCTTCTTTTCAGTAATAGTAGGCTTCCCCTTAATATCTTTGGAAATTTCCAACAGAATTACAGATTACCACAGTTTCATTTCTTACTGAATGCATGAAGTGTCCATTTGGAAGAAAGCTGGGTCCACAAATAACTCCAGAACTTCTTTTTTCCAGGCTCGTTTAGTGTAGGCATATCCACTTAGGGAGCTGAGCAATCGAGCACCAGCACGGAAGCTAGGGGCATTGTAGGCACTGCAAATAAACCTCAAATATTAATATTCAGGACAGACGCCACCAAATGAGTGCCTTTTCCCCAGAACTCCAAGCCTAGTCCTGACTGTAATAATTTACTCCAAATTCTGTTTGCTAGATATAGAAGAGGTTTTTTTCCTCTAGCACTGAGGAAATTAATGTCTCTTCAACTATACAGATGAATCAGAATGAACCATTACAGGGCAAAATGCTATATCAGCTCCTTTCAGATGACCCTGCCATCTTCTGCAAAATTTAAGATTACTGAAGTTTCTAGTCCTTATTCTAAATTGAAGGACTGAGTTTACAGACTCGAACAATAGCATTAGGATCCCACTACTGCCCTGGTCACAATAGAGTCACTGTGACAGTTATGCAGGGCACTTAGGCCATTCCTGCAGATTCCACTCAGAGAAAGGGTTTGCTATTATTAGCAGTTAGAAAACATCCAATCATTAGGAAAGTGCACGCGTAAACAAAATGGAAAGTGCATGCCATCCTGCTATTGGCTGATGGCCAACAACTCAACTACAGGAGGGATTCCTGCATGGGCAAGGGCATAGATCCACTAAGACTACCAACCGTACCCTTGCAAAAATTGTTATGAAAGTTTACCTGATCGCCTGTGTTTTGTGATAATCATGATTAAATTGTGTTATACTTTATGTCAAAAAAGTTACCTTTATTTATTCAGGGTCCTAAAAAATGCTAAAAAGGGCACACACCGTATTCATATACTGCAGACACCCTTCATATATGTTAAAGATACATCCTTAATTTAAGGCAACCCACAACAAATCCCCTTTCACCCCAAACAAGTCCCCACCCATTATAGTTTCTCTTATGCCCCCATCTTGGAAATGCATGGGGAATAAAGTTGAGCCCTACAATATGCCTTCAAGATCAGATTAACAGTTAGCATGATTTAAAAAAAATATAAGTATGTACAGCAAGGGCTATTACCTGTGATTGCGTAGATAAGGAAATACGTAATACATCAGGCGTGAAATTAATGGCACGGCTTTCTCTTTTTCATCACTACGGTAAACCATGTCCAGGAGAGAAGCAAGAACCTTCAGAAAACCAAAATCCCACATGTGACCAAATGCACCCCTGTATTCACACCCTACACACCATTATAATAACTTTGTACAAAATATGACTTGTGAGGTATCATTTGAAAACTAATAACTAGATGGTCAGTAACATCATGGTGAAATGAATGTACTAACATTATATATAAAGTTATGAATGTAAGCTGAAATCATGACTGAAGTGTGTTTACCAGACAAGTCTGGGGAGCGGGCAAATCTGTTTCTCAAAGACACAGGACAAGCCGACACCTCTAGACAGGTGTAACCAAAGCTCATGGGCAATTACCTATCAAGTGGCCACTCATGGGCAAGGAAGGGGGCAGGAACAAACAGATTTGCATCTTATCAAACAACAGCACAGCTCTTTCACCACCAGATTGCTGGTCTTTGTCCACACGGCCCGAAGGAACGTTCTCTGGGAATAACTCTCAGGAAAATGCATTTCAAAGGGTGACTGGACTACAAAAGTGAGGGGGCAAAAACACCCCAAGTTCTCTCGCTATCCATCTCTCTTTTTTTCACCAAAGATGACAAAAGAAACAGCCTTTGGACTTTGGGGCTGGATCTTCAACTGAGAATTTGATCAGCAAGGTTACTGGGAGCATGTGGTAAGAATTTTATCTTGAACCAAGTCTAGTCTGCTAAGTTTTAACACTAGGAAGTGTTTTATCTTTATTTCTGTTTAACTATTTCTGACTTTAGTGCTTTATACTTGTACTCACTTAAAAACTCTCTCTTTGTAGGTAAATAAACTTGTTTTATTCTTTAATTAAAACTAATTCAGGGTTGTTGATTGTGCGGGTAACTCCATTTAGGGTAGCAGACTATTGTATATTAATTCCCTTCAAGGGGCAATGGATCTAATATATCTGGACTGTCCAGGAGAGGGCCGGATAGTACAGAACACAATTTTTTGCAGAAAATCCAGGACTGGGAGTGTGGTGGGGTCACCTTGCAAGTGGTAACCAAGGCTTGTGGAAGCCAGAGTGTGACTGATGTGTGGCTGACAGGCTGCGGCTAGACACAGACACTCACGGTGTTGTCTGCATACTGAAAGGCTGTTTGTGAGCAGCCCAGGTGGGAGCTACAGCAGCAAAAGCATTGTGAGGCACCCAAGTTTGTGGGGAAGGGGTGACAGCCCCTCACTGGTCTGGATTGTCTCCTGGAATGTCCTATCATATTAAGCTGCAATAGACACTTTTGGAGAGGGAGGAATGTTAAACTTCAGAAAAAGTCAAAAAGGAAAACGGTCTCACCTTCACTATCAAACAAACACCTTAGTTTAGCTATATCAATTGTTAACCACTATATAGAGAAGAATGGCAAGCATCTTGTTAGCTCATATGCCTGACTCCCATAAAGCTTTATGAAGTAATGCTAAGGGACAGTTGTCATATAGGCCCAGGACTCCCAGCGTCCTTCCCAGTTCTGTTAAGGGAACTAAAAGGTAAACCTAACTTTGAGTGTATTAAACGTATGTAAGGTGTGCTCTAAAAGCAATGGAAATGTATCTATTTTTACAGCTGCAGAAGGCACTTTTAACTGCATATGTGCTAGCAAATATGCTTGGTTTCCGTGCTTGAATAATAGGTTATGAAATTGTAACCATGACCATGAGAAAAGAATAAGTGGGTAAACAAACATAACTGAGGAAATGAATTCAGTACTAAGCATGAAACTTTGCATACGTTATAGTGAAAAATAATGGAAAATTACTCATAAGTGAGCTCTGTATTGAGTATAGAACAGAACAATATAGGGGACATGAATCACCTTGCTTGTGTACAGGAAATGTTACCTTACGGTCAAATTTGTGGTTATGATTGGATAATGTATGTATGTAACCAACTGCAAAGGGCAAAGTGAAGTAATTGATTAGAAAGTGTTACATAGGAGGGATAGCTCAGTGGTTTGAGCATTGGCCTGCTAAACCCAGGGTTGTGAGTTCAATCCTTGAGGGGGCCATTTGGGGATTTAGTTGGGGATTGATCCTGCTTTGAGCAGGGGGTTGGACTAGATGATCTCCTGAGGTCCCTTCCAACCCTAATAATCTATGATTCTATAAACTGTATAAGTGCACAAACAGCTAGGATATAAAAACCCCACCGAATTGCAACAAAATGGGACCAAATCTGCAAAGCTGTCCCCAGGAAGGGTAAAGTATCAATCTTTGCTTGTGTTCTGTATAGTCCTGATTAATCTTAGCTGTATAGTCTTTGATTAATAAATTGAGCTTGATTTGAGGTCTTGTTGATCAGTGATACAAATTGAATCCCTCTTACAATTTTCTCCTACTTAAGGAGACGTGTAGGAACTTTATATCTTACTTCTGCAAGAAGAGAGAGAGCTTGAACACTGTATATTGAGGGAGCAGAGGCAGACACCATTGAAGATGGTACTAGTGAAGCATCTGAAAAAGACAAAATGTTTAATTTGCATTTTGAAGCAGAACTTATTGTGGAAAACCTATAAGTTTCAGGAGTGGTTTGGTTCTCATCTGGGTTATACCTTGCATACTGAGATGCAGTGAGGTATTGCTGGGAACCCCTGCCAGCTTCCATAAGAACGGCCATACTGGGTCAGACCAAAGGTCCATCCAGCCCAGTATCCTGTCTACCGACAGTGGCTAATGCCAGGTGCCCCAGAGGGAATGGACAGAACAGGTAATGATCAAGTGATCTCTCTCTTGCCGTCCATCTCCACCCTCTCACAAACAAAGGCGAGGGACACCATTCCTTACCCATCCTGGCTAATAGCCATTAATGGACTTAACCTCCATGAATTTATCTAGTTCTCTCCATATGCATGCCCACTCTTGATCTTACAGGGATTATACATTATTAGAGGGCTTATTCCTTCACCCGCTCACTTCCCCGTTTTTTCTCGCATGAACAGAGAGCAACAATACCCGAAGTCCGAAGGTGCAAACAATTCAATGTTTATTGGGGTGAACTTTCAGCAAGCATGATTCCAGTTTCCTTTCTCAGTGTCCCCCTTCCCAGCTCTGACACCACAGAGCCTTACCTGTGTCCCTGTTCCCATTCCCCCCACCTTAGCAAAACATGATTCCAATTCCCCCAGCCCCATTCCCTGTTCCAATTCCCCCTCCTACTTCCTGATTGACTTCAGACTACACCTCTACCCCGATATAACACTGTCCTCAAGAGCCAAAAAATCTTACAGCGTTATAGGTGAAATCACGTTATATCGAACTTGCTTTGATCCGCTGGAGTGCGCAGCCCCGCCCCCCTGGAGCGCTGCTTTATTGCGTTATATCTGAATTCGTGTTATATTGGGTCGCATTATAATGGGGTAGAGGTGTATATAGTAAAACTTGAGTTCTGCTTAGCTATACCTTAACCAATCATTTTACTGAAATTTAACTAACCAATCCTAACATATTGTAACATGATTATCTAACCAATTATATCCCACCACCTTAATTGGTTTACACCCAACAAAATTAATTATACAGCTGACAGAAACAATCACAGAACCAGAGATTATACAGACAAACAATAGGGAAATGGGGACTACAGTGATAGAACAACAAAGAAATGAGGAGTTCACACCCCAGCTATTGATAAGTGAGTTCTTGCCAGACAGGATGCTATCAAACTAAGTTTCCTTTTACATCTTCTAGACTCTTCCCTTTCTCTGGAGGTGATAGGAATACAATCCTGTCCTGATATTCCTAACAGCCCAACAGCACCTTATTTCAATGTGACTAGTTTGGAATGTAAGGATGTGACCATACACTTCCCGTTTATAGCTGCCTCTGCTACTTAGCCGAAGGCCTTAGCCTAAGAACAGGGCCTCAGACTGTCACAGTGAGAGAAGGCCTTTACAGTGGAAGACAGTGATTTTGATTCTCTCTTTTATACCTCTATAAACTAGCTAAGTGATAAGAATACACCTAAATTCTTAAAGTATAGGCCTTTGCAGACAGGCCTGAATATCTGTATCCTAACATACATTGTATCATTTTAAACTTCCTTAAAGCCATAAACATATGCCAGTTTCCAATAAATAGGTGTTAACAGAGCTAGCATGTCTGCAGATACAAGCTTCTATCCTCAGATCTTTAAGTTACAGGATTTGAAAAAGAAGAGTAAATGATCAATTATTGGAGATAGGCATCTATGAAACCAATGCACTGTCGGTCACATTTACTACCATTACACATGCGCACTGTACAAGTATAGATTTGAAAATTCTGCAGCCTCTATCTGTGAATGCTTTACATTTGGCAAAGACCTTAGGAAAAATGAAAAATTGACTAGAAAACACTCATTCAGCAAAGTTCCTTAGTCAAAAAGGGGCATACTTTTCACAGCTGATTTGAATGGATTTATACCCTCTAAACCAAGGGTATAAAAGGCAACATGTACTGACCTGCAACTTCCTCTCCATTTCCTACTCTACTGTGAATCAGGTGAAGGTCCAAGCAGAAGGAAAGAAGGGCAGATTGTGGACCACCCACAAGGACCACACATCTCAAAGAACTTCAGTGACTATAAGGCAAGTAACGCTCCTTTCTTCAAGTGCTGGTCCCTATGGGTATTCACAGTGGGTGACTCCAAAGCAATGCTCATCAAGTTGGAGGATGCAAGAAGTGTTCTGCACCACAGATTGTGAGATCACTGAACCAAAAGAAGTTTCCTTGAAAGAAGCTTGAACCAGGGCATAATGCCAAGTAAAAGGGGAAAAAAGAAGAAGCAGCAGTGAATGCCTAATCTGCTGCTCTACAGATCACCGAGAGGGGAATTCCCAGAAAGGAAGCCACTGAGGCAACCTGAGCTCCAGGTGAGTGAGCCATGATAGTTTGAAGGAGGGATGCAGCCTGAAATCCATTTATAGAGCCTTTGGGAAGACTGCTTCTTCCTTCATACCTCTTGGCAATGGAGATGAATTCAGATTCGCTCCGATAATTATATAGCATGTGTGGGGGTTAAAACGGACTTTTCTGGATTTTGCTTGAAGTCCCAAGGAGTGAAAATGGTGACTGCAGCCTGCACTTCCTGATACAACCATCCCGTGAGCAGCCAATGCTGTAGGTAAGAACCTACTGGGGTATCTTGTTGGTGTAGGTACGTTGCCACCATGACAGTACCTTTGTGAAAGCTCTCGGTGTTGTAGAGTAGCACTTTGTATTGGAAATGCTCTAGAGGCCCACCATAAAGTGCAGGATGAATGTCTATATGGAAACAGGCATCCTTCAAAACAGAGGGCCGCAAACCACTTGCCTTTGTTCAGGGAAGGGATTATGGAAACCAAGGTGAACTGAATCCTGATCATCATATGATGACATTTAACTGTCAGAGGTCCAGGATGGGTGGGGTTGGGAGTGGGATGAGAAAATATGTGGAGTGAAAGCCCTTCCCCCTGTGTTAAGAGGGTATGGGATCTATTACTCTTAACTGGATTACGGAGTTCACCCCCTGTATGAGAATGCTCTCATGAGAGGGTCCCTGAAGAGAGACAAGGAGAGGGTTTTTGGAGAAGGGGCAGAAAGGAATTCTATCATGTAGCCAGTCGAGCTGATGGCCAAGACCCATTTGTCCAATGTGATATGCTCACACATCAGGAGGAAATGGGCCAGGCAGCCACTGAAATGGGTGGGATGAACTGGCTATGTGGAGACTGGCTGGTGGCACTCAAGCATCCCATCAAAATGGCTTCTTGGTATGCAGGTTAGTCTGAAGAGGGGGTGACGGTAGTGTGGCATGTCTGCTTTGCTGTACCCTCTGGCACTTCTGAGGGGGCTCATAGGCCCTCTGATGACAGAAAGACTGAGGGGCTGGGTGGTACCCCATGAAGATGGGGCTTAGAATATTTCCTGTTTGGTGCCAGGAGCGAAGGGCTGCACGACAGCGAAGTGACTTGTCTGTTTTCTTGCTAAGCAGGTTGTTACCGGAATCACTATGGGGAACACCGAGGATTGCAACCAAGAAGCCTGGCTCATAACTACCAAGGTTGCCATGGAGCGGGAAGCCACGTCCTCTCCATCGAGTGATGCTTGGATGGACAATCTGGCAACCAGTTTCCCTTCATCCAGGATGGCCTAGAATTGGGGCCTATGTTCCTGTAGTATCTTATTGGCAAATTCTGACAGTATATTTGTAATTAATATATTTGGACATTAATTCCTGGTAATTTGCTATGACAAATAGGAGGCTGGCTGATGAAAAGTTCTTTCTAACAAAGAAATCTAGTGTCTTGGTGTCTTTGTCTGAAGAGGCAGACCTAGGCTGGTGCAGCTTATTTCGCTCCATAACAGCCTGGACCAGTACAGAGTTCAGATTAGGGTGTGAAAACAAATATTCTGCCCCTTTGGAGGGAACAAAGTACTTCTTCTCAGTCCTCTTAGCCTTAGCAGGCTCTAATATGGCTTCATTAATAGGGACCCAGTCTAGAGAATATCTAGGAGTTTATGGGTAGGATCCTGAACCTCTTCTAGGGGGGACTGAAGAGTTTTCGCAACCCTTCTAAAGAGGTCCTTCTATTGCCTATAATTGTCTGATGGTGAGAGAGAGGGTAGTGCCACTACCTCATTTGGAGAGGAAGAAAATAGTGCTGCCAGCAGACTTCTACAAGGCACCCCTGGGGGACTGAGGTTCCTCTCTGGGAAGTGAAGATCTTTTAATGCAATGCCCAAGACCTTACTAGTCCGGGGCCCAAAAGTATGAATCCCAGGAGCCCAGTATGGCCAGTGGGTATGTATCATAAGGATACATAGGTGCTGGAATTAGGGGTGCTGCTGCACCCCTTGGCTTGAAGTGGTTTCCATCATATACAAGATTTACAGTTTGGTTCAGTGGCTCTTAGCACCCCCACTATAAAAATTGTACCAGCACCCCTGTAAGGATATGGAGGCGGGCCTATGGTGGGTACCATCGGCCCCTAAAAAACACATTCCTGCCAACTGCACTACTGGAGCCATCTGGGAGGCTCTGGAAGCCCAGTCTGGGCTGTTGTCTCATATCAGGACCACCAGGGGAACAGTCAGTGCTGCCTCCTGTTCATCCAAGGAGTAGAAGTCATTTAACTACTGCTGGAGTGGACAGTACCATCTGCCAGAGACAAGCACTGGTGAGTAGGACACCAATGGTGTCAGAGTCTCCACACTGCAGCTGGTACTTGGAACTGGCAAGTGATGTGCTGTCTGGGTAGGGATATCCCTTGATAGTACTGGGTCTGAGAGGATTGGGAATTTGGGATTGGTGTAAATCACCAGATCCTTGGGAAGGGCACACTGAGGCCTAGCTGGAGGAGCGCTGATGGGAGTCTAGGGTCGAGACCAGAGGTTCTCAAACTGGGGGCTCCCTTCCCCCCGGTGGGGGCATGGAGTGTATTCTGGGGCCTGTGTGTGAGAGAAGCTTTAGGGGGAAAAAAAAAATACTGCCCATT